ACCAGCAGAGCTGTTCCCCCGCCACATCCCACCGTTCCCAGGCACCAGTGAGGGAAAAGATGCTGTTGCCCAAGCCAGTCCAAAAAAAAAAAAACCCAAAACCCCACAAAACCCAAAAGCTGTATTCACAGAACTCAAACGTGGACACACTGGTGAAGGTTTACAGAAACTAAATCAACAAAAACACAGAGCAGACACCACACGTATTGATGGCTTACAAGACTACTCCAAAGCTTTCTGTTTGCGCTGCAGTTTCAGACTGGCAAGATCAGCTGCTTTACAGCCCAGGAACACTTGAGGCACGATCTGTACTGCGCACACTGTCTACCGGTGATGCTCGGGCTGAACAGCTCCTCAGCAACTGTTGTTTGCCTCTTCCTGCCAGAGGAGTCAACCTTTAAAGCCCAAGAAACACCTGTTTCTCACCCAAAACCTTGCATTGCAACTCAAAGCTCAATACCGAAGCCTGGATGGGCCTCAGCCCACGCCTGTGGCCCTACCCTGGGTTTGAGCAACTGGCCCTAAGCCGCAGGAGAGGGCTTGGCCCTGCTCTGAGGAGAGGCGGGATCGAAAGGTGAGGAGCATGGACCAACCCGCTGAATTAGATCGGCCATGTTCCTGCAGGATAAACCGTACCCTCTGCTACCGAGCTGTTTTCTGTGCCCTGGTCAGGACTTCCAACGGGGCAGCTGGAGCAGGCGAATATGGAAAAGTCCTCAGAAAAGTGGAAATGACACTCCAGCTGTGGGAACTGTCCTCAGGGGCAGTTACACCTCTTCAAATCAGTCCCTTAAGCCTGCAGCCACGCGTTGCCGGCAAAGGCGAGGTGCAGCCAGCACACCAACAGCCGGCTTTGGGGAGGAACACGCACAGAGGGGATCAGGGCTCAGCGGGGGAACTACATGTTGTACCGGCCTCTGCCAACAGCGGAGGTCTCCTTCTATTCCCGCGTGCTCAGCTTGGCATTTAAACTCGCTCGAGGACCCCCCTCACGCTCGCTCACCCTTCAGCCGATTCGCACCAGCTGCCCGCGCTGGGCCCTCCCCACGTAGGAAGCGCCCGACAAAAGGGAGGAGGCGCAGGACAAGCTGCGTGATTGCGCCAGCCTGGCCTCTCCCCGGTGTAACACCTACCGTGAGGGCTGGGAGAGCTCCAGCGCCGGAGCGGGCACTGGAAACACACGGAATAGCTGGCACGTGCAGAGTTTAAACCGTCTGAGCAACCCCCTCCCAGTGAGCAGCGCTACCAGTGTGTTTAGTTTTACGACTAGTCCTTGAACTCGGCTCTCCCGGAGCAAGTGCCGGCTTGCAGCTCTTTCTGCCCCGTCACTGACGCGACTTGTGGGATTAGCGTTCCACAGCCCAGGCTTTCAGCTGTCGGCAGCCCGGCCTTTTCCGGTGTGCCTCATTTCCTACGGCCTCGTGTTTGAGCAACATGCAGTTACCACAGACCCTTTTCCCCCCCATACCAAAAAGCAAAGTAATTGTTAAATTATTAAAAAACCCCCCATGTTCGTTACCCAAGGCGATGAAATGGGGTTGAACTAAGACCTGCTGCAGCGGGCGCGTGACACAACCAGCGTGGCGGACAAAAGGACACCAGTGAGAAAGCCGTGCTCAGTGGGAATTGCCATCGGCACCCAACACTGTCCGATGGCCGGCGCCAGCCGTCTTTATTTTACTTTGCCGTGCGTTTCGTTTTACACCGTTGCCTTGCTTTCCATGCTCACTCTCCCTCGATAGCTAGCAGAGCTGTGACACAGCGTGCCACCCCGTGGCGTGAGCAATTCTGATTACAGAGTGGTGCTGAACTGGTGCACAATTCATAATAGTGTAAGAAGAAAAATCAAGTTATTGAAAACCAACTGACAATAACTTTACCAAAACACCTTTGCGCTTACATTTTTAACCCTTTGCCTTTATCACTACGTAACGTTACATGAATTTACTAAAACTGTTACCAGCAAGTACAGCAGAACATTGCTAAATCACATTTATAAACCCCAAACCCCTTCCCTTCTCTTCAATTCTGCAGACCAGAGCACGTGACAGAGCAAAACACGACAAGAGGTCCCCCCGCGCCTCAGAGCTTCGCGGTACCGTGCCACAGTGCAGCAGTGCATCTTCCAGAGGAGATTCAAATAGCAGCGAGCCCTCGTTGAAATGCGTAATAGATCAGAAAGCCACGACGTCAGAGAGCTTCTAATGAG